TAACAGTTATCCCAATTTTAATATACTTTATAGAAACAGATCTTCTTAATAATCTAATTACTGAGAACTTCATTCCAAGTATAGGTAAGTTTTAAGAATATCAAATAAATGCTGACTTACATTTAAATATTTAGAGTTAACTCTCTTAAATTGCCTTCATTGGTTTGTTGTACTTATTTTTATAAATTTATCCAAAAATCTTGAATAAGTATTTTTTTACATTCAGAAATATTTATTTTGTCCAGCAAGTGAATTCTTAATGGTTCAGTTGGCTAATAATTAAACTATATTAAATTAATAAAAAAATCTTAAATTTAAGGACTATTTACTCTAAGAAAGGCTTTATACAACTCTTTTACGCAAACTGTTGGGATTTTTTTTTTAAAGTGTTTCAGTTAATAAATTAGAATATATTGATGCCATATTATTCAATTTCTCTATTTTAACACAGATTTATTTCCTCCCTTTTTAACTTAAATAATTCTTCACCATATTGATATAATTTTTATATATAAGGCTACTAAACAAGATGAATATACCTTTACTTCAATTGTAGTTTTAACAAATTTTTTTAAAATAAGATTCATTTATTCATTTAAAATAAGATTCTTCTTCCGCTGATTTTTTAATGTGAAAATACTTTTTGTTTAGAAAATAAAACAGTAAATTAATTATCAAATCAAAATTAAAATCCCCAAATTTGAAATACAAAGTTTTTAAATAAATTATTGTTACCTATCAAAAAACGAATCTGTACAATACTAGTCGAGCTTTTTCTTAAAAATGCTGATTTAATTTACGATTTCTATTTGTGCTTTAACAGTGCATTTGTCATCAAAATTAAACTATAATGAAAATTACTAATGTATTCCAAAAAGTATTTATTAACCTATTAGCTATTTTTATATGGATTGACAGTGTTAGAATCTACAACCAAAACAAATTTTTTTGAATGAATCCACTTTTTTAATGCAAAAAAGAAAACTAATACTTGTTTTGATTTAAACTGACATAGCTGTGATCCTTACAGGTTTCTACAGCTTAGGTTAAGGTACATTCTTATTGTCGGTATAAATTGGAGAAACAATTTAACATTATTTTTTTGGTCCAAGAATCTTAGAATAAGAACTCTTAAAAGAAATGTTATGCTTGCAAGTGGGAAACTAAAGTCTCCATTTCAGGTAATCTAAATAACTCTGAATATAGACTTCTTTTCTGTTTTTAAAATATTTCAGAATCAACTCTTCAAAAATGTGGAACAAACAAATACAGAGAATGATGCTAAATTGAATAGAAAAATTTAATCAAACCCTCAGATAAACAATTATTAGTATGAAATCATCGATTTACTTATACCTGCATAGTTTTTTGACTCACAAATCCAAGAATAAAAAGCCAAATTAGATTGTCATTCAGATTATGTTACTTCAATCTGTTACTCCCTGATGGAAATACATTAGCTTCTGGTAGTTATGATAACTCTATCCGTCTTTGGAATATAAAAACATCGGAAAGGAAATACTTAAATCCTAATTGCCAAATGGTATTAAATATTTATTATGATTTAGTTAATCCTGATCTTACAATACTTAGAATATGCTAGAATCCTTAGTTAGAAGCATCAGGAACACTTATCTTGTAAGGATAATTCATGAATTATTAAGGGAGAGATTTAAAACATTGTTTAAATCCAAAGGAAGTTTCTTTAGCAAAAGTGAATTTGAATATTCATTAAAAAAGATTACAATGACAATTTTAATAATTTAATCTTACTTTTGTTTTTTGTTTCAATTATTGATCTTCATTTCTTAAGATAGATAATTACATGTTTACAAGCAACTGATTACATTATTTTAATCTAATATTATTAAAATATATAGTATTTCTTGAGATGTCACAAACAACTGGTACTACATTAAATTTATAATCTAAACATTAAACAAGTTTAGTCCTAACAAAGATTATTAATAGTTTAGTATAATTTAGATTTTTAGTTTATAAAAAAGATATTAATTTTACTAATAATCTTAAATGATAACAATGTTAAAACATTGGAATTGAATGATTTTTAAAATCACTCTGCTCTAATTTTGGTAATATTTTTGTAACCTGTTATTTATTATTTTCAATTGATATTAAAAGTATTATATAGAATAAAGGACTGAAAAGATATATTAATCATCAATAAGTATTCCAACCCCTAAGAGGATTTAGAGATCTTAATTGTATCCATCTTAACAATAATCTTAAATAAGTTCTATCTGAATTACATCCAAAGAGCTACTTTCAATAATAATTTTGCATATAATGAACAGTTATTAATCAATAAGATAAGAACAATGTAATCATAACTCAAATAGATTTTTTTAGAAATTAATTAATATCTACATAACGATAATATCT